TGTACATACATTCACTATTATTTATCTATCTCTGTTATATGAATGTGGGTGTGCGTGTGTTTATTATTTGTTATTTGTTATATATAATATGTATGCGTATGTAATGTATATGGAATAAATAAAATGAAGATGATGATAATGATACAATAATGAGATGACGAGGTCAATTATTATTTGTTGGTATTATAAATTATTAACAATAATTTTTTTACACGTTATAAACACGCGAATGTCTTATAATCATTTACTATTATTAACATTTTATTATTTATTGTTGTTGTTATTATTATTATTATTATTATTATTAAGAAATATCAACATTAAATACGAATTTTTTGATTTGAGTAAAAATACTTGTGGCCGTGTATATTATTCTCTTTTCATGCATCTTGTGAGTGAATTGCAAGCGACGAATATAACAGTAAAAAATATTTTATTTGGTGTAGCAATGAGTCAGGGGGGTAGAATATTTTAATGTTATATAAAATAAAAACTTGATTATTTTCTTGTTCTTTCTTTGCTCTCATAAGACAATTGTGTCATTGTGCTAAAATTTATGTGTAAATCACTCTAAAAGGCATATGATTCGATAATAAAATCGGTGAAAAAGATAAAAAAATGAAATTTAAATTCGACTGGTTAAGACTTAAGAATCGTCATTATTGTACGTATCTGTTGTTATTTATAATTTAATAATATATTTCTTAAACTGGTTTCTTCTCATTTATAAACAAACCCTTTGGATTTATCTTTTTTTTGTTTTCTTTCTATTCAATAACAAAATAAAATCGTTTCAATAAATAAATAAATCAAGTGGTGAGTGGTAATATGATATATTTTATAAATAAATATATTTTACATTAATCTGTCTATTCATATTATAATGGATTCTTAAAGGTTTTTATTTAAAGATTTTGATTTCAATTATTATATAAGACAAATAAAATTTTCCACTCACTCGGTTTTATTTTTTTTTTTTCCAAAAAAAAAAAATTATAATGATTATTTAAAATAGCCTACACTTTTCTTTTAAAAAAAAACCCCCTCGAAAAAACGAAAATAAATATTTTTATTTTTTTATTATTATTTAAATTATTTTTATTTTTTATTTTATTTACTATAGTTTAATCCAAAAGATTACGACGATATTCAAATAATTCTTTTAACATGACAACGTAATGATATACTTTCTAAATAAGACGAGAAGAGTCATGTTCCCCAGTCTTTTCACAATATATAAATAATATCGTCAATCTCCCACCATCTTTACAAACAAACACATCTCGTCGCCATCCTCCTCCTCCTCCTCCTCCTCCTCCTCCTCGTCATCGGTTCTGATGATGTCCTTACAATGTATCGAAAATATATTGGTGGTGATTGTGATTATAATTGCCAATTTATGGTGTCGTCGTAAAGAATATTAA